AAATATATATACGCGTCGAGAGTATACGAATGAAAACAAACAAGGTGGAAAAAATGCATCGCTGCAGATTTTCAGAATGCGTACTCGATTTGACAGGTTTAAGTTGTTGGAAAAATAAACAGTCGCTTGTATATAAAAATAAAAATAATTTTGATCGATGTAAAGAGAACTCAATTCAAAAAATGTATGCGTCAATTCAAATTAAGTCTGTTATTAATTTTCTTTATATGTTGTGCATGATCATGCAGCATGGCAGACTGACAATTAAAACCTTGTTGATCCGTATCAATTTCATATATTTTTCTTATTTAAGGTCGTCCGAAGGCGACTTGTTATCCTCAGCACAATTAGTTTAATTATTCATATTTTATGCGTTATACGGTGTTCAAAACTTCAAAGCCGCAGGCAAATTTCTGTATGTTTTATTTTAGCTTAGAAATACTTTCTTTAAAAGAAAAAAATTTAAAACGCTGCTGCAGGTAAGAAATTTCATTAAAATGATGCCAATAAAAGTAATAAAACCCAAAAGATTTAGAACAAAAAAGGGTCTTTTATAAAAAAAAAAAAAAAAAAAAAAAAAAGTGCTAATTTTTTACCTCAGTTTTTATGTTGCTAGTTGAATCATTTAGAGAGAGAAAAGGCTTTTAAATATTATATCTTATGAAGCAATAAATATGTCAATTAAAATCAATTTTAAATCTGGCTTGAGTTTTGAATTTCTTCAAAAATGTCTAGATTTTCCGTAATAATTTCTCCCAAAAAACTGTTTCAAAAGTGCAGGTTTTAAAAAAAAAGTTTGAATCTCACAAATTAGAAGAAATAAAATTAATATAAATAATTGGATCATTAATCCTCCCTTTTCACATTTAATGAATTTAAACCTGTCATAAAATGTGTTCTTTGGAAACGCGATAGTCTTGAGGTTTTGTCATCCAAGTGTGCCGTCCCATAAAACTGCCTGCTCTTGTGTATAAAGTGAACTCACAACCATCCTAACACGTTTTGCTCTTTCTCAAATCGCACACAAGTAAAATAAAATGTGTAAAGCAACCTTCTTCCATTAATGTGATCATTTTTATACGAATATGGTCATCTCACAAATATAGTCACTTTTCGGAGACTTGGCTTTTGAATGTCGCGTCTCGGTAATTTATTGCCGGCGGACGAGAGTGTTTGTACGACTTGTTGTCCCGGTGGCGGCGGCGCGAGATTGCGCCTATTGTCGCGGCCAGGCAGATTTATATTTATAAATAAATTTTTACATTCGGCGGCTCCTCATGAGAAAAAGAGACCCGCCGTGGAGGAGCTCGCGCGGCCTCTCTCAAATGGAATTATGTAAAAATACAGTAGCTCCCGACTTGGTGTCGGACGCATCCTCTATTTTTTTATTTATATATGTAATACATAAACACATACATGGCCGGTCGGTAGCAACGGCCCGGCGCGCTTTTATCTTCGGGCCATTCATCAACTTCAAAACTATATTCTCAGTCCGAATAAAGTCGCGAAAAAGAAGTTCGAATGGAAATGAAAATTTTTAACACAAGTGCGTGCAATTACGGCGGGCTTTGCCTTTCTGAGTGTGTCGATTGTGTCGCTGTCCTGCCGCGGAATGTCGCCGCCGAGTTGTTCGAATTAATTTTCACGCCATTGTGATGAGAAAATTCTAAAATGACGTCAGAATAAAAAATAACTATGTGAGAGAGAGAAACGCAAAATATTAAGTTTAGTTTTATATTGATAAATTAGATATTTTTTAAATTTAATATTATTATTCATATATGACGGGTAAATAATTTAGTCATACAATGTAATAAATTTATTTTATTTTATTTAGTTAAATTATTAATTTATTTTGTATATTATTTTTACACTTTTATACTTTCCGTGGTTCATAATCTCAATATGGATGTGACCTTTGCAAAATGATAGTTATAATCAAAAAATAAATTTTGATCGACTATGGTAGTATCTTGCATGATTTAGTTTAAGCTCACAAGACTTATCAAAATGTGCTGTATGCATAATTGTAAAGACTATAATTCAAATATTTTTATTCAAAAATTGATTCTTTTAAAGAAAATTAGAGTAATTGTACTATTGAAATTAATTAAAGGAAGAATATTTGGGAGGAAAGCCAATTATTTAGTTTGTTAAACAAATTTTCAATCCAGAATCAAAAATTTATTTTGAAATGCTATTATATTATTTATTATGCTTTAGAAAAATTAGATTCTAAAATATGTTGTAAAATTACCATTTCGTCAGTCACATGGACAAATGGCCACTCGCAACAATTTTCATGTTTTCAACAATGAAAACCATTGTTCGAAGTGGCAATTTGTCGGCGTAGCCAACGATTTGGTATGAAAGTAATAAATAGTCAAATAATATACAGATGGTTTTGTTTGGCAAAATATTTATCGTAGTTTTCTTTTTGTTTTGTTCAATTCCAATTCCATGATGATTAATTAAGCAAGATTGAAAACTTCCGGCATCTGTTTGCATTCCATACAATATTTCTCAATTTTTTTCTCCCATTCCAAACGCGAACACACTCCTTGCTGCAGAATTCGATTATGGTGAGTTTTATCTTTATAAATTTCTATAAATATCATTATTTTTTCCTTCTAAAGCAAGCGCGGCCGTCAGGAGGCATATTTGTCAGCCACGGTCGGTCAACTCGCTGAGGTCAAAACGAGGAGCTCGAATAAATCAAATTAATAATAAAATGGAAATGAACCGCGCGCGTCCAAACAAATTGGCTCTGCCGAGAGGCCCATTAAGAATAGTGCAGAGCGCACGAATAAATCAAAAGCGTCGGTAATGCGAGAAGAGTGCAATCGGCACGCAGCATTAATTATTTATGAGATGGACCTTTGCACCGGTCACTCGTCTAAATGGACACGGAATATAATCATGCAACCTTTTTGAAGAAAATTTCAACCAACGGATCAGCGCGAGGTGGGAACCCGCGCTTCTGTGGGCAGCGCGACCACCAAACGCCGAGTGATACAAACCGTCGAGTTTCCGTAAATTTTATTTCAGAAAATGCTCTCAAATTGAAGAAAATCCTCAAATTATTTAGAGGGAAAAAATAAAAAATAAAATTTTATAATTATAAATTTTGTAAATTTACAAAAAAAAATCAGAATTTTAATCTAAATTAGATCCAACCAAAACCAAAGTAATAATTTGAGCTAATAATTATTTTCATCTTAAACTGTAATTTAGCATAAATCATTAGATGAACTGTGTTGATTGGTTCATAGTTTTAAGCTATTCTGGTTCTGATTGTGATATCAAAAATGATGTGAAAATATGATTTTGATTGTTATTCTTGTATTTTTTGCATTAATTAAAAATTGTACCTGTCTGCATGTGATTATAAAAGACTAATTTTAATTAAAATGCATACAGGATAAATACGTAAGAAGATTCAAAGCCTAATTTCTAATCATTTTAAAAGAAATAAGAACTTCTCCTAATACAGAAAATCAGGATTCATCAATTTCTCGCAGTTTTGCTCATTTTAAATTTGGTCTTCTATTTAAAAATAAAAATAATTATGTTTAATTTTTTTTTAATCCTTTCTGGTACATATCCAAAAAATCTCAAAAATTATTTCAGAAAAATTCCTAAATTTTCCAATGGTCTGCACAATTTTAAATTCTGCAAACTCATTTATTGCAAAATCCTTTTTACTCTCGAGCTCTTTACATCAAAAAATGCTCGTCGGCGAACAACAGAAAGACCATCTGTCCCTTTCCTAAAATTTAATGTGATTTCATTCCTGGTGCTTGACATCTGTAGAAAATAATAAAACGTCACCCGGCGCGGCTCACATTAAAAGCAGAGAGGGACACAAACTCTTTCCTCGTCCGCACAGAAAATGCAAAAGGTCTTTCTCCGCATTATTATTATACGAGAGATGCTCAAAATTTTCATTTTATACATCCACGGTGACGCGATTCATATAAAAGAGCCACAAATCATGTGCGGCAAGCAGATAATGAGCCAAAAATGTCAGAGGGTGAAAATAATATAAAAAATCGGCCGAATAGAGACGCTTTGAATTCAAAAGTTTTATATGTAATATTTAAGCCCACCCACTCTTTATATATGAAAAGGTTCCGATTCAACCCCGTGACGCGCCGCATACGATCAAAGAAAATACGGGGAGGAAGTTTTGCTGGAAATTTATTACACTCCGCCTAATAATCCCCTGCGGGCCGCTATGCAAATAGAAAGAGTCTCCCCGGATTTAATAGGGAAGCGATTTGTATCATAGAAGAGACTTTTGTGAATGCATGATTTACGATCTCACAAATCAACACCCGAATTTTACAATCTTATTCAGTAAAGAATTTGAAAAAAAAAAATGCTCTAGATTCAAATAAGTATATTCAATTGAGATAAAAAATAATTAAAATTTTAAGTTAAGGAAGGAAAAATATTAAAATTAAGCACTTATTGAAGGTTCAAACTCCACCCTGTGTCCAAAAGTCACGTCATTATTTGACTCCTTTGCGCATGATCGGCAAAACTTTCCGCCCTAACACTGCCCGATTACATCCCTTAAGTGACGCAAATAAGCCTAATCCATCATCGAGCTAATTTTAAATATAAAAGCAGTTTCTAAATCAATATATTGCGATTTTAAAACAGCAACTAAACGATCGAGTGAAATTATAAATAAAAAATTAACCCTTCTACTAAATTATTTGTTTAACACAATAAAAAAACTTGACAAAATTTATACAATTTCTATTAATTTACTTTTAATTTGTGTTTTTAAATTAAATTTGCACCAGTCATACAAATAAAAGTATTTATTTTATGAAATTTTTTGCAATATTTGCCAGGGATTTAATCAAATTTGAGTTTAATTTTTTTCCGAATTTGCACCTATTTCAGTTTCTGAAAAAACCAATTTTCCTGATACAAGCAGTTGGCTTTTCTAATGTGTGATTTAAAAAAATGTGTCATTTCGTACTCACCCCAGTTATTTTTGGGAAGCGCAGGTAGATTTTTGCTGCTGTCGTCGATCGATCTCGTGTTCCTGAGGGATGCTGCGAAACTGCACGTCGGAAGGTCGCAGAGGCACTCAGGGCAGAGAGAGGCTGCGAGAGGTGGCCGGCCGGGAAACGAACCGCACGTGCATATGAGCGAGGAAGATCTCAACAGCAGTAGCTGGCAATCTATTATACATGGGCCGCGCGGAGAGAGCTGAACGTGTTGCGGGGGGCGGCACTCGCTCCATGGCTGCCGCGAATCCAGCAGGGGGAGGGGCAGCGGCACCTAAACGGGGGGTGAGGGCGGAGGTTGTCCGAAGCGTGTGACGTAGAACGCCCAGTCGGTCGAGCCACAGTGGCCACCGGCCAAATGGAATGTGCACGATAATCTAATGAATTATGAACCATTTGTTTCCCGGCCGACAGCGCCGGCCAGAGTTAAAAGTATAGTTGCCTCTCTCCTGAATAAAAAATGTACACCAGGGGACAAGACGCTCTGCCACTGTCATCAAATTTTCAAATAGAGGAAAAAAACCCGAGCCTTTCCGACCCTGAGCTTGATATAAATTAAAAGAACTGTTTTTGTTTATATCCGGATGGAATTATATAGTTTTTGTTTTTTCAGTGAAATACGATTGAATAAACTTTTTCAATTTTTATATTTGCAGCAGCCATGCTGGTTCAAGATTACAATTCATCATAATAAAAAGATCCGTCAAAATCAAAATAATTCAACAGATCAATCTTTACAATTTTATGTCACAAAATAATAAACCCCCAATGGTCACATATAAAAGTGCTTTGTGTGTCGACAAAAAAGCCGTGCACATCAAATGCAAGTTGAGGCAATTTTAATATTTTTCTCCTAAACCAACAGCGAGGACTCAGCATTCCATGTCTTCTTCTTCGCTGCTACCTTCGCTGCTATCACCTTTCCTCCTCGTCCTGCCGTTGGTTGTTGGCTCGTCTAATTCTTCCCCTTCGCTTGCATCTTCATCGACTTCTTCACACCTTTCTTCATCGTCGTCCTCCATTGCGTCGGAATCATCCGATTCTGCTATGCTCAAATTATCATCCTCACTTGAATCTTCCGAATCTGACGAGCAATTAAAAAATACATTTAATTCAATTCTTCACAAATTATGTATAATTTTAGGATTAAGGTAACAAGCTTTAACAAAATTTTAAGTAAAAATAATTAAAGAACAAGTGGATTTTAAAACAGGTTTAATATTAAGGTTTTGATTGAGTTTTAGAAATCAAGTAATAAAAATAATGCAATCTAAAAAAATTATCTTTTTTATACCAAATTGTATGATTTGATTTGGTATTCACATTTTATTTTTAGTAATATTCAGGCCTTTTTCAAATGAAAAATAACTTAGTTATTTTAAAAAAAATAATGAGTACATCAAAATCCCAAGTATGAATTTGCCTAATAAGAAAATACAATTACCATCTTCAATGTCGTAACTTGTGACATGGCTCTGCTGGGGACTCATTTTCTTGACTTTCCCCCTGAGCGCCATTTGTGCCATCAGAAGGGAAAGTCTGCCCTTAAGTTTCATCAGGTTCTGCAGCCCTGCCAGTCTGACCTCCACAAGCCCAAGGATGGGCTGAATGAGCGCCACCAGCTGCGGACTGCCAAGAACCAACGAGCTGTGGTGCATCAAAATTTCCGTAATCCACTTTGTGGCCGTTTCACCCCTGAAAATCACAATTCATTAGCATTTGACTCAAATTCTTTCAAGCCCCCGAACAAGGGTCAGGTTGGTTGGGAAGCACAAATGTGCTAAGGGTGCTCGATTTCGGCAAGAGACCGACCCAATAGCCTAATAAGCTCACGGGTGCCATAAGCAAAAAAAAAAAAAAAATTCTTGCATCTTTATTTAATTTTGGAAATTTATCATGAATCGATTGCTTTGATTTTTTTCACAAAATTATTTATAGGGACTTAAAAGAAATATTTAGATCAATTGGGATTTAATTTAACAGATGAGAATAAACTCACTTCCACCCGCTCCAGTGCACAAGCACAGCCAGTTGTTGGACTAACATGGGCACATATTCGATAGGCAAATTTGCCACAGTACTTGAAATAACAGACGGATCCTTTGTGAGAAGAATCTCTTTTTGAAGTCCTTTGTCGTTACTTGCTAAGCCCTGAAATTACCATTCAATATTAGAATTGAAACACAAATAATTTTTTAAAGAGCCAAAATTAGCTTCCGAACCTGTTGTAAAAGTGCGGAAAGACTATCCGTGGTTGGACCACTGGGAATTCTTGTTTCCTCACTTTCCACTACTTTTTCTACAGACAAATTTTTCAGTCTGTCCTCGATGGGTAGGTGAATGGGCTTGGTGGAAATGGGTCTTTTGCTTCCCGTCGCAGTCACATATTGTGCCTCGCTGGAATTTCCTACAACTCGTGCATCCGATTTCTTCTCCGAAGCAACCTTCCTTGGATTCTTTCTATTGAGGAAAACGATATCTTTCTTGGTAGAAATGTTGCTCTGCGAATAACCAGCCTTTGAAGATTCAACGACAAAAGGTATCAAAATTACTAACCGTTCTCTCAAATCGTAGATTAAATGAGTCTCCGTAAGATAAAATAATTTCCAAAGCAGATTTGTAAGGAAACTTGGCAGCAACAATAGGAAGGAGTACGACGGCTGAATCGGCAGGTGCATCACTGTCTGCGATTTGGAGAGTCATCCTAGGCTTGGAAGGTGTCATACATTTCCTGGAATGCACAGAATCTCTGATAAAGAGAAGTCTCAAATCTCAAGACTAAAAGGGGGAGATGTGTTTTGAAAAGACTTATTTTCGGTTATCAACTTACCCATTGAGCGTTTCCGAGAAAATGCAAAGTGATCCTTCAGCAGTGACTGCTGAAAGATGGACCGAACCGTCTTTGGGAGAGACAGCCAAGTCCATTTGCACCGGAAAGTCTTGCAAAACTAGCATTGCAATGCATTCTTGTGTTCTCTTCTTCTTCTTTGATTTACCAACAGGCCTGAAATTAAAAGAAAAAAAGCAATGAAATTAAAAATCTCTTCCAAAATCAAATTATTTGAAGTAAAATATCAAGTGAGGATTTGAAAAAAATCTCAACATTAATTTTAATTATTGTTCAAAAAACCTAATCTTCAGTTCCTAGTTCTTAAAAGTCATTTCAAAATTTCCAGGCTCTTTTCGAGTTTTCTTTCTTTTGATATTTCAGATGAACTCACCAAACATTAATGTTTCGTTCTCCCTCAGCAATGCTGGCCAAGTGTTCGCCACTTGGAGTGAGGAGCAACTGTCGGATAAGACTGAGGTGCCCCTGGAATTCTTGGAGCACTTCCCTGGACTGAATGTCCCACACAGTTATGGTCCTGGACGCGCTAATGAGCCAATCTTCTGTCGGATGGCACAAAACAACTGTGATTTGTGACGGCGCTTTTGGGTTCGCCTTCCAAGACCTGAAACGGAGGGAGAAAGAATTGTTTAATTGAACAGTACTTTTAATATGAACCCAAGGCTTAAGAAAGTTTATTAAATCACTTCATTAATTCAACGATTCTATCAACTCGTGAAATAGGCTTATTATTAAACATTATTAAAGAATTTTAACTGTTAATTACGAGATGAATTAAATACAAATACTTGGATCGATAAATAATTTCATTGCTTAATCCAAACTATTACTATAAACTTTAATTCCGCTACTTTTTTATTTCAGTAAAATTTATTGTAAAAATACAATCGGATTAATTAAATTGAATGGAGGATCTCAATCGAGGTAGATTTCATGAAAAATTGAAACCGGGTGAACCTCGTTGCAAAGAAAAAATAAAGGACAACTGATCCCCCAAAAGGCAACCTGCAGTCTGCTGGTACATAAAACCAAGAGGGAGGAATTTATAAAAAATGGTGAGAACTTAATTTTCAACAAAGAAAAGTTGCAGAAATTTATATAGCAAAGGATTTTAGTTGGGACACAAAACCCTAGGTTTTAAAAGTACCAGCAGAACACAGGTTGCCTTTTGGTTGTCAGGTGTCCTTTATTTTTGTTTTCTTTGCAATGAGTTTTGCCCGGTTTAAATATTTCAATCAGATTATGTAATTGATTGTAAATTACAATAATAAATTAAATTTCACTTTGAAGAATAATATTCCTTGGTAGGGGCAAAAGCAAAACTCAAGAAGTAAATAAAAAAAGACACGTCGATTTCGTCTATCACAGAAAACTAGATTATTCAATCCAAAGTGGACATTTCCTCAAAAGTGGGTGTAGCCTTTTTGGAACTTTTGGCCAGAAACTTACTTTGTTTCCGTGTTTTTGCCCAACTGCCAGTGAATAATTTGGCTACTGGTTGTCCCGGCAAACACGTTGTTGTCCTTCGTAGCGATTGCCGTGACAGGGCTGCTGATAGAGGAGGGCAATTTTCCGCACACCTCGGCTCTACTGACGTCGTAGAAAAGAACATCGCCTTTGTCCAAGCCAAGCAGGACTCCGTTTTTTTCTGCTGCATCCTCAGCCTCGACCTTGCGCTTTTTTGCTTTTTTTGCCGGTAGCTGGAATGGAAAATAAAAATCAGTAAAAACGAATATTTGGAAATTAGGGCGAAAACTATGACACAAGACACACTGTTTCGAAAGTGAAATTTTTGTTTAGCATTTGACCTTGGGCCACTCACAAATGGTAAACAACCAAAATTTTTAGGCATTTTGATCAAATTTTGACTCGGAGAATTCACAAATTTCTCAAAATTTATGGTTAATCGATGAAAATCTAGATTATTAGCAATATTTAACCAATTTTAATGAGGAAATTTTAATTTTAAGATAAAATTAAGGAAATTGTGGGTAAAAATAGACTTAAAATTTTGGTTGGAAAATCCAAAATGAAAAATGGAGCAGTCATCAGGGTAACGGATTTTGAATAAATATTCGAACATTAAAGCAGATTTAGCCGAAATTCGGGCAAAAATCCAAGTGCGAAACGTGTCATGGTGTGGTCCAGAAGTTTTTCGTCGCCGTACCGAGGCGGGGAAGGCGGACGAGGTGGAAATCCAGCACAACGAGTGGATTCTGCAGTTCAAGTGTCCCTCGGGCACGAACTCCTGCACCAGTTTGCTAGATTTGGTCTCGAAGACTCTGAGTTTGCCGTCGCCGCTGCACAGGGCGAAGTGCTGCAAATCGGCCGAAAACGCCGAAGCATGATCGTGCGGCGCCATGTTCTGCTGCTCCACGTTTTTCACTCGCACCACTCGCCGACTCTCAACGCCCGCAGCCCATCAGCCCCGGGAACGTCGCGAAAAATCGGCCGAAAATCGTGCACGGCGATGCCAACGGTCGGCCTAACTCGTCGGCAAGGAAAATCGAATAGTTTCGGCTTGTCGGGACCACGTGCGGTGCCAGCCAGTGCGACGATAACACACAATGCGATCTTCTGCGATGCACGTCTGCATTAAGCTCAGTTTGCAAGCAGGCCAAGAGATGACGCCACCAGTAGTAATAATTATTTTTAACTACTTTTGGCGCGATTCTATGATGAAAGTTTGTAAGTTTTCTAAGAAAACATTATACAAACTATGTTCGCAGCAGGTTCGCAGGAAATAAATCTAGATAGCTGAATGTTGGTTAAATTTTAATTAAATGATTATCACTAAAATTTTTAACAATATCAAATGAATAACCTTAAAAAACTTAAAAAATATCCAGAAGGAGTTGAGAGTTTGGACGTTTTTTTTTGTAAATCCTGTGCTTAATTAAATTTTAATTATTTACAATAAATTGTTCAATTCTTTAAAATCTTTCCATTTTTTTTTTATTTTTCTAATAAATCAATCCTACTTTTTATTTATTTTTCTTTTCTTATTTTCAAAACTTATTATTTTGAAAATAATTATTTTTTTACCACAAATTTATTTCTCACTTATTATTATTTTAGATATTTTATTTTAAATATTATTCATTTGTTGTATGAATCTTAATTAATTTAAATAGACAACTCATAAGATATCTTAAATACCAGTACAAATTATATTTTGCAGCTCTTTATTACGTCCAGATATAGATTTAATTAAAAATTATTGTTTGATTAAATGCTCGTCAATAAAAATTAAATCTTTTTAATTTTTCGTTTTCCTCACTGTCATAGAAAATCATTATCATTAATTTCTCAATGTTTTAAATCCACTTGGACCTACACTACTTTTTTTCTAGCAAAAGGGTTTGAAGTTTGAAATAGAAAACAAGGGTGTAAAGTTAATAATTCATCTAATCCTTGTATTCTTTCTGTATTGACAACATGGCACAAAAATGTAAACTTTTGCAGAATAAAACTACAAGTGCATAATAGCCTTTCTTTCATTCATCATTTTACAAGTTCTTGGAGCACATTTTTTTGATCCACATTAGAATGCATTGTAATTTTTCCCTTAAAATTACACAGAGAGAGGAGAGAGAGCTTTGATATAATATATATTATTTTAATTAATAATATAGATGCCGTTTTTTTCTCAGGCTTTCCCGTTGTTTTAAAGAAATCGATGCTTTTCATGTTAGACCAATTTTTTATTGAAAATTCACTATATCAAGAGAATTTGAAAGGATTCTTCTTTAAACCAGCTACACAAAAGTTGGCTTAGCTGCTTAAAATTTTAATTATGCTCACGTCCAATTCCATCATAAATTACAATTTAATTGACTGCATAGGTGGCCGTTCTTATTTAGTACCATTGATAAAAAACGTGTGTCTGTGTTTTGTGTGTGAAAAAGTACAATTGAAAATGTGTGAAAATTATACGAGAATCATTAACATGACCGACCAAAACTCATTTTCAACTTCTAGCGTGGATCAGATTCGTCGAAAGCAATAATACAACAACAGTTCAAAAACAGGCAACACATCGAATGAATAATTAATTATAATGAATTAATGAGAGCTGCGAACAAAATTTGAGAACAAAAATACACAGAGCGCTCGCTTCTTCATCTTTCCTTAAACACCATATTGCTTCTCTGATATCAAGTTCTGAATTTCTGTTTTATTACATACTACGTAGTTATGTACTTTAGATTTACGTGAATCTCATAGCTTTACACTGGGAAACTCAACCAAAAAGCGAGCCGGAAACTTGCTAAGGTATATTTACCACGGGTCTATAGATCTCGGAATTTTAATTCATTAATTTCTAGGCGACGAACTCTCGCCTCCAGTGACAATTTATTACTTTTTTTCTCTCTCGCAACGATCTAGGATAATTTTACAAATACCGTTCTCGCCTAGGAATTTCAAAATACACTTACGCGAATCGTAAATATGGTACTACGCATCGAAAATGCTTAGTAGTCTCTCTAGGTACTCTAGCAGCGAAGTGACAAAAACGAGGCTTATTAGATTTATTCACTTGTCATATCCGTTTCACATCGAATAGTCCCCCTGGCTTGTGGACGAGCGAGTTACAACCTCTGGTTCGCAGAACTTCGTCGGTCAACTCGTCAACTTTGGTAGGTTTTACAACAATTAATAAATTCACATAAATGCTGCGTATGGTCTTTTTGCTGTCAGTGGGGGTTATTTGAACTCCGCGCGCGTTCGCTCTTTACTTTCTTTCTTTCTTCCTCTCTGAGATGCTCTTTTTTTCAACACATTCGTTCGTTCTCGTTAATAAAAAACTTAATATTTATGTACAAACTGTCTTTCAAAGTAGGGAAGAAAAGTGGATAAATGTACAATATATGGCAAATCATTGTTCAATTTTCATACGCAAGAAAAAAAAAATCAAAATCCGGAGCCCACCTTCTCTCACATATGTTTGTAATTGTGCAAGACCAAAAATACAATTTATATATATTGTTGCCATTTTTATACACAATATATATTCCAACGAACTTACTTTTGAACACATTCAACCGTTATTCATTTCTCGAATGAAACAGTTACGAATTTTATTTATCCATTTTTTGAATATGCTGTGACACATACAGAAGAACTCTCTTTTATCCAATTTGGTCACTATTGTGATCACACAGTCTTGGGCTACAAAAGTATGTAGTTGTTTATCTAGGCGCAAGAGGAAGACTACATTTTAACTACATATCTCATATATTATTTATATTTAACGTCGAGGAAGCTCGGCCGCTGCAAATGCCGGGCGCTTGGAAAATCAATTCAAAGACAGAAATCAGTCTGAAGAAACTTGTTTATTTCTTACGTTAGCTCCCGTCCTTTGCAGCGAGCGAGCTTGCGTTTGATTTTGATTAACTTCATTGCAGTGTGTGTGTGTGCAATGCAAATAGTTTTTGCAATCTTGGTGCTTACTCGAGCTTCGGGTCGCTCGTTTTTGTTTAGAGAAAAATACTTTTTTGCAAGAAAAAGAATAATTAAGGGATCAAGAGCTGAACTTCTTTAGTAATTGCGAGTTTAACTTTACGAGATGTCCGAGACTCTTCATAAATATGCATTAAGTAGGTGGTTTGTGTATGTTTCTGTGTGTCCTCTGTTTCAATGCTATTTTTAAACTAAGGATAAGGTTGTGTACTTCCCTAACTAGTGTTGTAACCGTTCTTCTTCCTCCGCCTTGTGTTGTTACTTATAATTTAATTGCTATTTGATATGTTCAGATCACCTTCATCATTTTTGTCGGGAAAGAAAATCAATTACGTCGGTTAAAAAACAGAAAAGTTTTAGCTCTACTTTATATGAAAAATGAAAAAAAAAACTCAAAAATCAATCACAAAAATACAAAACTCTCCATTTTACAAAAGAAGCAAAAACATCCCTTGTCTGCGAGTTGCCATGATTTGAACGTTGTCAAAAAATTATCTCCATAAAAAACGGGGGTTGGAAATCCGGTCGGTATGCAAAAATAACACCTACTTGCTATACAAAGTTGCAAAAAATTTGTTTGTTAGTCGTCTTAATTGGTATCGAAACGTCCAGTCGATCTTGTTGCTTGATAAAAACTTACTAAGAATGTAATTGAATAAAAATCATTGAGGATAAAAACGCGGCTCACAATCAGGTTATTTGTAAAAAACCACTTTTACATAATTATTGCTTATGTGGTTCAAAACTGTGAGATTAATGAGGTATGCAACATGAGCAATTCGTTCGACTGGACATTTGTTGGACAAAATAATTAAATATGAGACAGCACCAGTTACCAAGAATGCCAGCTGCTCCGTTCGAAAACACATTTCAGTTTTTCATTCAGTCATTAATCTGCTTGTATGCAAATCACACTTCAACACTGGTGCACTTGGGCTGACTAGTGCTTTTGCATACATAATTGCGGACATGTACACAAATTAAAATGAAAATAATGGCGTAGAGACGGCGTCGGGGCGCCGAGTTGATGAAACGAGGTCAGACGTTGCTGGTATTACTCCGAGAGAGATGATGAGAAGAAAATGAGAAGAAATTCCTCGGTTGGCACGCGATGAAGGAACGAAGAGGCGGGAAGAGGTGTATGGGTGTGTTCCGTGTCTGTGTGTTGTCTTGTGGTGTTGGTTGGTTGGTGGCTTCGAGTTGTTGGCCAGTCTGTCTACTCGTCCTCATTCCCGTTCTCCATGTTCTCCAGGTCGACGGGACTATCCCTTTTTAAGTGCATGCTGCCACTTATTGTGGAGGGGATCTGCCGGGACGACGAGAAGCACAGCTTCATTATGTACGGGAATTTGCCATCTGAAAATTGGACCAAGTTAAAAAAATTGCGATCAAATTATAAAATCAACAAGTCTTATTAAGAATACATAATCGGAATCATCAAGCACAAATTAAAATTGCGGAGTAATTTTTTTTATAAATTCTATGCACAGGCAAAGCTTATATATTTGATATTAATTTAATTACAAAAAATTCAATGTGGAGGAAAAAAATCAATTTAAAAGTTAGTAAAAATTATAATAAGATGGAATTCTACTTTCCGTCTTGCATTTAGTCTTTCTAAACTTTTGACCATTCATTTCTTTTATCTTTTATATTAATTCTAAATTTGATTTTTTTTTATTAAATCTAGGTGAATTTGTCTTCTTCATATGTCACCTTTTAATATTTTTTGTAATTTAAATTTCCAAAAATTTAAAGCTCTAAAAATGAACCAGAAAACTGCAGCCGTGCAGCCGCATATTTTACAAGATTAATATTCCTGATTGGCTAATGCTTGTGCATATCAAATATCTGACATTTGTTTCCAACTGTCTAGCTCGAGTGCTTTCTCTGATAATTCTCAATTAGCTGCTTCACTATCTCCGTACTTGGGTTCTGGATCGGCAAGTGGTTGCACATCATGAGTGCGTCCAGTGCATCTGAGATACTGTCAAACTCCAACAGGCCCGAAGAGCTGCGCTCAGCTGTGGAATTTTCTACATCAGTTGAGATTTAACTTTCTTAAAATGTTGAGCTCACTCTTTGACGGGAAGAGTTTGATCGTCTTTGGATCGCCGACGCCCGAATTCTCGAAAACCTCTTTCAGCTGCTCTTCCGTTAAACTGGGTGGCGTGTTGAAGAAATGCAAAATCTGTTGGCACAAGAGGGGGGTCCAGGATAAATAAATTGCGGTGTCGCCGCCGAAGCGAACATTTATTTACTTTAGATGGAGGCTGTATTCTGTTTTTGCTAGCCATGACTGGGTTGATAAATCTGTTGTTTTTGTTGCCCATGAAGTCTTTGAAGGAGGGACTCTTGTCTGGCAACTGATACGGGTGCTGGACATCACTGAGAAATGCTTGTTTTGAGTAACTGCAACACGGACAGAATGACAAAATTAAAAATTATGACTGCCGTCGACACTTTAGAATGTGTCATGTGCGCGTGAGTTAGTGTTGCACATTATTAATTCGCGCGGAATTAGCTCAAATTTCTGCTACTCACCCCAGCTGCAGTTTTGATCCTGCCAGCTGGACATTGTTCAAGTTCTGCACTGCTCGCTCCACAGCTAAAGAATCACCCAATTGGATCATGGCACAACCTTCCTTGGTCTTGAGGAACTTAATCTGCAAAAAAGGCAAAATAACAATTATTTCAAGAAATTTTCAAACATTGCATGACAGGAAAATACAAAATTTATATACAAAAAATTGAGATCAATTACAAAATATTTATTCAATGCAAGTAAATTTAAAAGTATTAATTTAAATAAATAAATAAAAAACTATTTTTTTCTTGCAAAATGAAATGCCTTGAATTTGTATTAAAATTAATTAATATGTTGCATACTTATTTTTTTAAATCCAAAACTTAAGAAGCATTAAAAAATTCTAGAAATATTGTAATCAATTTATTTAACTCAAAATAGAAAAAATTAATTGCAATTTTCCTAGAATTTTTTAATGATTTTAAAGTTTTGGAATAAATGGTTTAAAATAAAGAAGTATGTAAAGTATTTATTTAATTTAATTAAAATTCAAAGCATTTGCTTAAAAAAAAAATATTTTTAAATTTGATTTTTAAAATCTAAATTTTATATATTGTTCCTGTGTTTAAGAAGAACCAAGGAAAAATAAAAATATTAGGAAAATTTAATCAAATTTATTGGAATAAATAAAAAGCAATTAAAAATTAAATACAAAAATATAAAATTACTCACTCTGACAACGTTGCCGTAGAGGCAGAAAATGTTGAACAATCTGTCCGGGTTGACTTTGTCCAAATTTAGGCCGTAGACCATCATGACCGAGCCCTGCTGTGGCACCGGATTACTCGGCCCTTGACTTGTGATGTTTTGCTGCTGCTGCGGAGGTCCGGGCGGGTAGCCTTGCCTGCAACAAACAGTTCCGAATTCAAGTGTACCTGATGTAATCTGGGTAAACGTTCATTTATATTTAGTTCAAGATGCATGTCTCGTGCTCAACACACTCGAGCGCGTTTTAATCCGTCAAATGAATCACATCTTGTGCGCGCGCGCTCGGCCGACAGACGATTGTATAATTCATTCGGAAACACACAGCGTCCATTTATTCTGCCGTTTTGAAATTAATTTGTTCGCTGGACGCTGGCCATAAATTCCTGCGACGCCGCATCGACCGCATTAGTTTTTTATTTAGAGTGGATACGGAATTCGTTTGATGAGAGAAGGCGCTGCCGGATGAGATTTCGTTTCATTCAGCGCGCGGCTTCGAACGGAATTAATTAATTGCGAATCGGAGCCAAAATATCACAAGTTGCGTAATGGAAAAGGTTATTGTTAATGCAATTTGTAATTCGAAGCCGGCGTAAATATATAAAGAATGGGGCTTGAATTTCGTGAATGAAAGTGCTGAACTTTAGTTTTAAAAATAGGACTAGAAGAGAAAATTATATTTAAATTCATCAAGAAGGCATTAATGAAAATTTAATATAATAGGAAAAGGAAAAATTTAAATTGGTCAGATAGGCTCATTCCTGGAAAAAAATATTAAATTTGGTTAAATTAAACTTTATTTTAATATGCCAGAATTAAAAAAGTATTTTTGAATGGAAAACATATATATTAAGTTATGGTAGGTCAGTTTTACAATATATAAATTTAGCTCTTTTAAATATTAGTAATAATTAAAATTTGACCTTTTAGCTCAGAGTTGCAAATGTAAGAAATGTTGCCAATAATTTGAATGTAAATTTTGAGTTAAGGTTTTAATCTTATTTTGTCAACTTAATTGTGTTTATTTGAAACTGGTTTAATTAAATATTCAACTGTTTTAATACCGCAGATTTTGAGACAAAAACAAATCAGTTTTGAAAATTCTCAGAAAAATATCAGTTTTATGGAAATAACCAACACAAGTGACAGTTAAAACATAAATAAATGTCATCAAAATCTCCTCCTGAGCTAAGTTTTAGCTGATAAGACTTGATAAAATTAGAAACAAGTTTAGATTCTTCCAATCCAACGCTTCAATTTATATTTCAATATTTTAACGTTTCTAATCCCTTTTGACGCTGATATCTCTTCAAACAAGTTATTTCTGGAGTGAAAGCGGCAGTAAAACTTTACGAGAATTTAAGTGCGTTATTTTTCCAGGTTACATAACAAAGTCCAATTATACACGGTGAAAATTTAATTAAAATTTACTAATTCCGAGCGGAGGACACGAGCCGCGCGCGAAAACAAAAATCAATCAACGTCACAATTGAAATACACAAGCCGGGCTGGTGCGAGTGTGTGTATTTTTAACGCGCAAGTACAACTGCATTAGCCGAAATTGTTCTTTTTGTTTTGCCCGAGTTGTTCCTCGTCTCCGCTTTTAAAAATACAACTGCTGGAGAGATGTTGTGCAAGTGCCTCGAGGTCTTCGCAGGTCAACATTCGCTCGGGTACATGTACGAAATAATTCATGTCCCTTTTACAAGCAGATCGATGCACGCCGTGCGCCGCGCGCGGTTTGTACACACCATTAAGTGGCGGGCGGCACACGCAAAATAGCACATCGGCCCACTTGCATTTTAAATTCCGAGTCTCTCAGGACGCCCGAGTGAGCTTCGTCGGTGGTAAAAGCGTGTCCTTTATTGTTGCTACCGGAGAGTTGAGGGGTTGCTCTCGCGCGCGCCCGACGACTCAAGGCTAAAAATACGGCGCTGCTATTTGGGGGACAAGATTTATGAATTGGCTTTTAATTCTTGAGCTGCTCGCGACCAAATTTCCCACGTGTACAAACACAAAACATCATCACACCTACTTGTTTTTTGTTAAGCAATAATTATTGATTTTTAATATTTCGTAACAATATTTTTATTTTCAAAGAAAACTGGAAAGATAAATTGTTTAAAAAAAATTGCTTTCAAACTATAAAGAATGTAGGTCAAAAATAAAACCATTGTAAATTTTTAAAGTTGGTAAAGATTGGAAGATAATTTTAAAAGACTGATGAAAAATTTCAGTCTTTTTCCCAAAACGTTTTTAATTTTTGTAGCAAGAGTCCCACTTATTGTTAGAGTAATTTCAAAGCAAGCAATATTTACCAATTCAATTAACATAAAATTAAAGAAATATTAAATTTACCAAAATTTAATTTAATATTGCAAATTAACATTAAAATTTGTCCTTAATAAATAAAATAATTTTGCTACAATTTTTTTTTTATAAAACTGTACTAAAAGTATCAATCTTATATAAAATACACAAAAAAATCCATGATAGTCAAGAAATCCGGGGAAATCTAAAAAGATTTCTCTACTTCTAACCCCAAATGTCATTTTAAGAGTCAGATATTTTGAATCAGAATAAACAATTTGCAGAAAATAACATCATCAAAATTAACTTAGGATTTAAATTTTATTTTACTCTGTTAATAAAGAGGAAAGTCTGAAAATAAATAAAACATCAAAATATGCTTCTACACCAAATTAATCCTCTTTTCTTGTAAATTTTCATTCAAAACTTTTCTGACAACCCATTTTAACCGTGATGGAAATTTTTGTTATTTGATTTGTTCTAGCAAGGATGTAGATTGACATTTCTATTTTGCCTCCGACTGTCACTTGGCTCGACTCGGAAATAATAAAGTTACTTTTGCTTTGTCTCTCGCGTGTCGAATGTGATATTCAGGCGGCAGAACGAACGAAAGCGGCATTTTCCGGGGTTATGCAACCATGGCGACATTCTCGTCGTGCGGATTGCCTACTTTGGAATTGCGGCGCGACCGGGGCAGCCCACTCGGTTTTTTTAGCGCCGCAAAAACTTCGGTGTACTAATACTGAGCTGCGCAAACAAACAAAAACACACCTAACGAGCCGTCGGGTTTCGAGCGTTGGTTTTGCGTAAATCCAGCTCGGCAGATTACGCTGCGAGTAGAGAGAGAGAGCGAGTCTCTCTTTCACAAGTGCGGATAATTCAAAGCCGGCCGGCCGTGCGTTTTATGTATTTACAATTAAAGCGGTAAAATCGCGAGCCGTTTGTGTTTGAACAAAGCGCCGCCGACGGCCGGAATCAACTTGGCCTCTCCACGCACTTGTTTGCAACTCTAATTGCAAAATTAAAACTCCACAGGGATTTTTTTTTAATTTTATTTATTTCACAAGTCGAGACTCCCGTTGAGATAAACAACTTTCACAACAATTCAGAGACCGCTTTGCAAAGTTTTAAAAAAAAATCTAGGTAATTTATGGATGCCTTTGCCTATGCGTTGGTGAATATCTTTATAAATATACATACTGCTTAAGAAATTTATGGTGGGGTTTAAAATCAAAATAAGCCCATAGTATTATTGAAAAAATTTGTTGATTTTTTAAATTATTTGATAAAAATGCTTATTATTATTGTCATATTTACTTTATTTATTTTGGCGATGTATCAATAATATTTTATAACAAAAATTTTCGACAACAGAAACTTTTTAAATCCAAATTCATCCTAAACTCGTTCACTTTACAATTTTAAAAATTAGTAAAATAAGAACAATTTAGAAACTTTAAATTAAATTAAAAGTTTTTAAGCCATATTCTATTTTATTACCAAAGAAGCGTAAAAAACCTTTTTTTAAATAAAAAGATATTGATTTTAATGAAGATTTATCAAAGATTACTGAAAAGGTTAAAAATCTCTTAAAAAATTTGATAATTTGATTTACTACATGATTGTTTCTTTAGCAACCAACGAAATTTTAACAAGATTATTTGATTTAACAGTTTTATTTCTTTTAAAATTAATCTTAATCTTCCTTACAAATGATTTATAAATTGAATCAAATCAGCGTTGAATTTCAGTTAAATTTAGCTCCTCCGATGCGGCCTCTTAGCCTGTCTGTATATAATTAAAATGATTTACGAGTGGGATTAAAGCCGGCGTTAAATGAGACGGTTAATGAAGTTGTCCGTCGCCGAGTTTTGTCACGCGAAAAATGGACGAGTTCAAGACAAGAAGTGTCGGTGGCGCGGCGGCGGGATGGACAAACGAGCGACCATTACATCACCGATCTAAATGTGAAACCGAGCGTCGGTTGAGTATTAAACTACAGACAACTAACTGACTTGGGTAAAAACACAAGGCGCGTCGTGTGGACGGAAATTTTCCGTCGAGCGATCGCGACGCGCACAAAAAATATCTGAAATTATTCACGCCCGCCGAGCGAGACGGACGCATTTTTTGGATTGGAACGTCACGGCTCTTCCGTTACAAAAAAAGTAAAGTCAATAGACCGGTGAAAAATTTCTTTTAGATTTTTTAATAAATTCACCTGAAGTCATTCTGAATATTATGGATTATGGGAATGATTTAATTATGATTCAAAATATCATACAGTTTTAGAAAAAAAATTAGCTTAAAATCCTCAATTTTTTTCTTATTCAAAAGGCTTCTTGATTTTTTATTTATTTTATTTATTTATTTATTTATTTTTGCTTATAGAAACTACTTTTCCTGAGGATTTTTCTACCTAAATTGGAGTCTAAAAAGTAGTATGTTTGAAAAAAAAATACTTTTTTTCGCCGGTCTAGAAATGAAGTTAAAAGGGACGCACAGGTCCAGCTGCCAAACAAAACCTTGTCCGTCTGGGGAACGCGGTGGAATTAAATTAATTAACAAAAAGCGGGGACAAGTATAGAAAGGGAGAGTCGGGGACGGACGCAGAATGCCAAATATCTCCGAGCTTCACAGGGCGTCCAATTAGGCCCTTGTTTTATTGTGTCGGCGGCGACCGCAGAGAAGCAATTTTTACCGAATTAGAAAACGGGAATCGGCCTCTCGAAATAGACGCAATGATGGTGGTGTCATCTAGGAACAAAGAAGCGCCGGCCTTCTCATTTCTTTTTTGCCCTCTCGGTAGGCAGTAGCGAGTTGGTCGCTTTTAATAAAGGGAGCCCCAAGATGAGCAGAAAAAACTATGAAGTTTGAAAAAAAAATTGCGGCAAAAAGAGACAAAAAATTTAAATTTTTTCTATCAATATCTAACAAAAGTCTTAAATTATTTATGATCAAAATTATTATGTCAAAATTTACTATATTTAGAGATTCTATGACAAACTTTAATTTTTCAAATAATAATAGTAGATTTTTACACAATTTACTTCTTATTTTTCAAGGTTTTTTGACCTTATACAAAACCGTTCGAATTGGATTAAAGTTTTAAATTTGTTAAATTATACTAAGTGAACAAAAAACTAAGTCAATTGAGGCGTATCAAAAAGGTTTTAGCAAAATTTCTTCTAATGGTGGTTCATTTATATCCACTGTCCAATATTTCAATGTTTCTCTACGAACAATAATTGTTTTTATTTTCAATTTAAATGTATTATTTGACAATTTAATAAATAAAATAGATTAAAATGTTTGAATTATCTATAATATAAAAAAAATAAACATTTTTCTTTGGATTTCCAGTTTAAATTGATTAAAAACTAATTTAAGTCTCAAATTAAAAATTGAATGAAAATTTTTGCACAGATCTAAATACAATTTTAAATGCTCAAGTAGGAAATTTCGTTGATTTGACTATCAAAGTAAATTATTATCTGTGATGGAAATGCGAATCCATTCTTTTCAGCGCAAATTCTGCTCTCCCCTTTGAAGCCGCTCGGCGTGGCAGAAAAGCCGAGATTAAACGAGCCTGGCCTGTCGGTCGGTCGGTCAGACAGGCGGGCGGGCGTTCTATTGGAACAATACAGATTTGCACCTCGCCGAGCTATTAATCCTCATCAGCGGCGTCGTTTTGTCAGAGATGCGCATCCGGGCGCGCCGCCCACGCACAAATGCTCGCCGCGTTACTCACCTATCGGAGTTATAATTGTCCTGGAGGCTGCGAGGACCGTTCTGCGGCGGCATCCCGCCGCCGCCACCGCCCCCGTACGGCGGCTCGTCTGCGTACCTGTTGGGGCCGCCACCGCCTCCGCCGCCGCCGCCACCAGAGTAGGGCTGGTGCTGGGGGTTCAAATGGTCGCCGACTCCTGTCAACAAACGAGAACACAAACGTCACTCACTCGCAAAACGAGACCCCATTCATTTCGGTGTCGATTCCCAAACACCAAAAATATAAAAGTAACAAATAATAATGGCAACATCGAACAGCAGCATTGGAAATTTGCCAAAAAAATATTATATATTATGTAATAAATCATTTTTTCATTCTCAAATTCAATGGTAATAAAAAAGTTTGGCAAAAAAATACTTGAATAAATTTAAAACGCGATCATTATACAAAGTTAAAAATTTTTAAATCCAGAAATATTTCAATTTAATAGACTTTCATTTTTTCTATTAAAAAAAAAATTGTCATTCTGAATATTATACGAGCCTGACTTATTTAAACTTTTTTTTTATGAAAAAACATCTTCAATACTTTGAACAGTTATGAGACTTTAATCTTAACTTCTAAAGGGACTTTATAAAGACATCTTCCAAAACCTGCTCAGTGGAAGATTCCCACCCTTCGCAAGGCTACCTATGTCAAAATTTGTGAAAAGTGATAAGAACAAAAACTTAATCAACCGAGACTCACTGCGGCGGATGGGGTCTTTTTGATCTTGGAAATTTCAGCAAAACTCTTGCTAGTGGTGGTGCCGTTTCTGTCCAACAATTAATTTTTTTTCAAATAAATTGTTTTCCGCAATTAAATGTAAACAATGTACTGTTACAATGTGGACGAAACACAACCAAAATAATTTTTATTTAAAATTCTGAGAAATTTCTATATCTTTTGTTATAGTAATGATGAAAAAAGTTTCACAATCCCCTGAAATTCTTTTTTATATGAATTTTATAGGTGAACTTTAACTTTTAAAACTTTTAATTAAAGGGAAGACTGTTTAGGCATACAAAGAGGACATTGTGGCTACATTTCCTTCTCTCTCATTGCCCCACAGAGAAGAGAATTAAGTCGGCCACCGAGTTTAAAAACGGATTATTGCATTGTGGACGCTTTTGGAATGCGAGAAAGAGCATAATGGGCTGCATGTGTGGTTCTCTGCGCGTAAGCGAGTTATTGTTATGGCTGGAGATTTCGTTATGAGCGTCGGAAATAGGCGTCCTACTAATAGTAAAAACGGATAGAACTGCAGCCGCACACCAAGGGTTGGAAAAATGGGATGGTAAAGAATTTAAACTGTGAAATAATGAGGGGTGGCGCCGATTAATCTAACTTTGGTCACACGTTGGAGGGCGAAAACGCGGCGATAATGAAGATGAATGAAGGCAAAAGAAGAAGAAGGAAATAATGCTTTGTGCGGTGCACAGAAAGGGTTGACCAAAATGATATTCTTTGTTGTTCATCCGATTTTTTTAATGTATCGAAAAATTCAATAAGTAAATTGAAGTAAAGGATTAAAAAACAAACGTCCAATGCTCATTATAGATTTTAAATCATCTGTTTATCAACATTGTTCGAAGTTATATTGTGATTAAAAATTCATATTTTTATATTTAAAAGTCTAATAAAAATGATATTTTTCTCTAGTTGTAGTATTTTTTTTTTTTTTTAATTATTCGCCCTTAATTGAAATTGTATTTTGATCGGGAAATTCCTGCACTTTTTTACACCGGTCTGTCTCAAATATCTCGTGTCTCGGAAAGAAATTCCACGTAAAGGCGATTAGTTTAGCTACTAATTTAGTTTAACTGATGTTTTCGTTTTTCAGAAAGAAGATCTAATTTCTGCTGTCCTTGAATTGAACTTAAAAAAGTTAAAGTTTAGGATAAGGGTCAGATCCAAAATTGTTGTTTTTATTAAAAAAAAAAAAAAAAAATGAAATTTATTATAATAAATTATTATTTTTTTAATTATATAGTCTTGTGTAAATGAATGATAAAAAAGTGCATAATTTTTGCCATTTTTTTAATACAATTTAATTAAACTAATTTAATACCCCTTCAAAATTCTATAGTCAAAGTAAAAGAGTTTTCCATCAGGCACTTACAGAGATGGACAGTTTATTCTTTATTTTCCATTACTTTGTACAAACTGACTGTATTTTTTACTCTTTCAAAGTAATACAAGCTTTCAACTTCCACTTAGGAGTGAAATTAAAACTTCGCATTAGAACAACAGCAATAACATGTTTTAATATCCGTCCTTTTATTTCTTTTCTTTCAGCGTGTGACGTTTGAAAACGATCTGGAAAAACTGGCATGGCACGTTTCCAGTTACACTCTCTCGCGAAATTCGCGCCTCCGTGCAAAACTATGCAAGTACAAAGGCCATTATCGTCGTTTCTATTTATTATAATTGCAAAACGGCTTTCGCGAAACAGGTTCTCTTTGTGAATGCAGGCGGGCGGGCGAGCGGGCAGGCGACGTGTAATTAAAAACTCCGCCAACGCTGCTCTCACAGTGATGCAAGCTGCAAAGTGCAGGCATGCAAATGAGCACCGAGTGCTAATGCACTGAACACAGGCCAGCCGGTGCCACTTGAGGCTCACGTGTGCTTTTTTTTCGTAACAGCTCGGCAACATGCAGAGCAGTTTGTTTTTTGTTTTCCGGCCAGTCAAACGATTCTAATGTAGTCTCCGGCTCGTCTATCACGTTCAGAATTTAATCCGACATGACACACAACGTTTATCATGCCGGTGTCGTTTACTCTGGCAAGGAAAAAGTTGCAAAGGCGCCTATCAGGACCAGCGGCACCTACGTTTTTGTTCGGGTGATCGATTATTTTGTCAGGAGAACGCTCTGATTTATTAAGTTTTGCGTCCATAAACAGGATCTAAACAGCCTCTAAATCATCACATTTTTTTATAATAACTTTATCCAAAAAAGCCTCGAGTATTTTTAAAAGCTGCTTTATTTCCATTAAAAAATTATTTTTTTAAACAGTTTCTGCTACATTTTTATTTTACTTTTTATTTTTACTTAATTTCAAACTACAAATATATCTGACAATTGGTCTATTTGCAAATTTCGTCATTCTAATTAAAAAATGAGATATTAGTAACAAATTATTTTAGACTGTTCCCAAACAAGAAAAAAATCGTTAGTTTTGCTAAATATTCTGATAATTTGGTGAATTTTTCCAATTATGTATATTCGCAGTTTGACAGTTTTAATGCAAATTTCAAGAGAAACTTTGAGAACAAAATTTTATCTTTTTTTTAAATGAAGTATATTTATGCATATTTATGTAAAAAAATATAAAAATTTTGCTTAATTTACTAATTGAATTTAGTAGAATAAACAATAATAAATAATAATATAATAACAATAATTAAAACTAAAAATCCTACAAAGTTGATTCTATTACTAAGTTCATTATTTATGAAGGCTCTTTTGAGACCATTTGATTAAAAGTGGCATATGCAAATGAAATTTGAGTCATAACTTTAAATTGAAAGTATGAATAACCAATGAAATATAATATAATATTATTGAACCTATGGATGATGTATTTGGGCAGAGAATGCCTGGTGATGGAATAATAAACATGATTTTAAACTAATTTGAAATGCGAACTAAAATAAAAATAATCTATAAAATTAGTTTTATAACCAAAAAGCCTTGGAATAATCAGATAAAAATTTATGTGGTGTTCTCATCGACGATTCCTTTTATCTTTTCTTACTTCATTTCCTCGTTGGTTATTTTTACAAAAATACGAAAATTCTACTTTGTACAAAAAATTCCCCCCAATGGTTCAGAGGCCAACGTTTTATGTGAAAGGTCTGCTTATGAATATTAGAAAAGTGGCGCCGAATTTTTTTGTAGCCCGTTTTTATATTTCTGCTGGCATATGAAGTATATTATTTTTTTCCACTCCCGGCAGAATTCCATTTCGAAATGGGGGCCAGGCTGGCCTTTTAAAAATTTTATTGTGCGCCGCTCGTCATCTGTGCCTCGGAATGCGGCGTCGGTGGCGCTGCCGCGAGTGGAAGAAGAAAAATAAAAATCGTTCCTTCCTTTCTATCTCTTCGCACGAGCTGCCACCCGGGTGCAAGCGAGATAAATAGGCGCCCCGAGGATAAATTCGATTTTATAGTGCATAAATTTCGACCGCAAGACAATAAAGCCCGGCGGCTAGTTTTTATTTGGCGCGTGTGCGGCAGCGTGATTAGACGGGCAGATTACGCTGCCATGTTTACTCTCGCCCTAAATCTTCCACAAGGAGGCGGAAAAAAGCAAAACACCGCTACAAGTTATTTTCCGTAGGTTGATGCAACCGGCAGGCTCTCCAGAGAGTGCTAATTTCATTACTCACCCGGAGAGAGACGGAAAGAGCAAAGAAAGCTGTGTCTAATTCTGTGATTCAATTACTGCAGCGACAAAAGTTTTTGTTTTTTCCTGTTTTGCTCTTCAAGTCAATTTGACAACGGATATTTTCGAATTCTGTCCTTCTGGTTCAAAATACCTGATGATTTCTTGTTCTTTTAAATAAGATGCCAAAATTCAAAATCATACTCTCATAAAAATTTTAGATTACTGCTTGGTATTTTTCTGCTTCTCATTTTGCCCATTTTTGTTTGAATTACAGGGTACATTTGCCCTGGTTGGAACATTAAGATCAATTATTATTATTATTATTTTTTTAAATACTTTTTTAAGCAAATTTTTTTACTAAATCTAGTAAACCTTTTTGTGTAATCTTCCTTTGAATACTTTACTTTTTGACAATAGACTGTTAAAATTCTATTGAATTACGATTTAAAAAAAAAAATTAATAAATAAAACAAGCAAATCAAATTTAAATTTAAGAGCCTAGTTTTCTACAAAAAAAATGCCGTCTAAATTTTTAGAACAAAACGTTCTTGATTATTTTTTCAATTAAATACAATTGGAATAATTGACTTGCTGATAAGACTTTTCAGCCACTTTGCTTAAAACCGACTTAACCTTTTCAATAAAATTTTAACCTTTAAATTCGCCATTTTTTTCAATTTTTCTTTTACACTAGTCTATCCATATCAAGTGAGTGCGTACAACCCTGCCGCTTCTAATTCTAATTATACAGAAAAATTTATTTTAT